ACGTGGCAGAGGCGGAGGAGGAAAGGAGTGCGGGCGCGGTCAGATGGCGTGGAAATGGCGAGGGAGACGGAGTAGGAAAGGACAGCTAATTATAGACATTGCCTGGCGAGCGTATGCGTGAAGACGGAATATATAGATACAGCATGCGGGTGGGCAGAGGGACCAGGGGTGAATGCAGGTGAGTGGGCGAGGACTGAGGAGTGAGGTTGGTGGGGGCGTGCGCTTGGAGGACAAAGCAGCTGCACATGTTGTTACGCCATTAAGTGGCAACAAACAAATCAATAATATGAACGAAACTTTTCCTTGGGAAAAATCACTGATCACCATCACTTGTCATTTAGTAATGAAGAATGATACGGAATTCTGTCTCGTCTGGTCACGGGAAATTCGATTGTCATCCTCAAAGGGTTACTGAAGGCACGCCACTTTTATATCTCTTTTCCTTCAAACTACTAACACATGATGTAATGATATTCTTATTTCTCCAACAGGAAGCATATCAGTCCGATATCGCACTAAGCACAGTAGTTATCAAAATGTCACACACAGATAAAACAACACGATAATCCTAACACAGTGAGCCATGTCAAAACAACACAATCCTCCCACGTGATACTCGGCACGGCAAAATCTCCTGTCACTGTAAACACATACACTAACGCACTCCAATAAGTGTTCCGGGAGCGACGCAGGGCGGTTCCTTACATACTCAGAGACGATAGACGACTGGCCCGGAACGTTGCGTCAAACCCCGAGCCCGCGCGACAGAAGGGGTGACCACTTCGGATATTTTTCTCTTCCATTATTTTCATTTTTTTTTTTTTTAATCCCAACCGTCACTCACATTCTTAAGACCACTAGAGAATACATTTCAGACTTAAGAATGCAAGGAGGCTCTGGGATATTTACCTGTGTTTGTGTAGTCTAAAGTTAGAAAACACTTGGGAACCTATCTGCAAAGCACGAAGCAGGTGAAGGTATAGGTACAGCCACAGGTGGAGCCTGGCAAAAGTGGCGATGGTACACTGATAACAACGTCTATAACAGCATTAGCATTCTACCGTAACAATAACAGTAATGGTGAAAGCAATACAAGCGCAGAAGCAAAACTAGCACAACCGTGAGCGAATACAACATGTGTGCCAAATAATAATACTGAGAAGAAAGATTAAGTAATTCTTAAATGAGAGAATAATTTATGAGCAGCCGTTTTACTCCGGCGATAATGTGTCTGTAACCGCAAACACTAAATTCCCCAATAAATATATATTTAAACGAGTTAGCACCATCATCACCTCGTTTTTAAAAGCATGCGCACTTCCACTTTCAATGTCTCAATGATAAAATACAGCACGCATCATCCGGCACAAAATACAGCCGCAAAACTCTCACAATCTCGGCAAAAACTCATAAATTCATACAGCTGCGACAACGAACGACGGGAGTCACGGCGGCTGACTCTTAAGGCGTTATGGACTGCGATTGGAAATTGGAAATCACTGGTTCTGTTTCCCCGGCGCCGCTCGCACGCCAACTGCCTGGCAACTTCCGAAGGCCGCCCGGACTCGGAGGGAACAATACAAGATGAATAAACATACATGTAAGAATGAGAATCGGTGAAAAAGCCCCTTGTCAGCACGGAGGAGACGGGGAAAGAGGAGAAGTAAGAGTGGGAGAAAAAGTGAAGAAAAAAGGAGACAGTCTGAAGGATACTGCGGGGACGAACAATGCCTCTCCGTATACCGCACATAGTGTATCGGCAAGCATCCAGAGAGATAAGGCGATGACGAAGTAAAACGTGGAAAAGGGCATGAGTTTGATGTTAATTGTGAAGCGATAGGAAATCCCACACGAAGAACCACACAACACGGAACACACGCACCCGCGGAGGATCACAACAGGGAAACGAGGAAATCCTGCTCCAATGGCATGCTACGATGACTAAAAGTGCCAGAAGGGACAAGACAAACTGACAGACATACGCATACGCCTCGGGCTTCGTGAACCAGGAACCACGGCCGCCGCGTCGCCGGAGGAAGTGGTCGAGGGTTGCTAACATCCCTCCCTCTCCCGCCCGTAATGAACTCATTAGCCTTCGCGGCGCGAGAAGTCTACGGACTAGCGCTGCCACTTTCTGCTGATCAGCCTCGGTGCCAATGAAATCAAACATTTGAGTTTGTATTTGTATTTTTTAAGAATATTTGTATTCACATCTTTGTAGCTCCTTAGGAACAAATACATAATAAAGAGGCTGTAACCTTGGGTGAAGAAACTATAAGAACTAGTTTCTGTCAATTACCATAAGAGAAAAGACCTTACGACATCACAACCCAAAAGGAATTGACCATATCTTTGATCACGCATTTACTTAGTCTTCGAAACATTCCTTAACAAACATCTGCAGCGACACACTAGATCGTCACCACACAGATCGCCCGAAGAATCACACGACCCAAGGAACATTTCAATGTGTAATAAAAAATCCTTCAAAAGCAAAAGCTAAAAAAAGAAAAGAAAAAAAAAACGACGTATCTGCTCGCATTCCCTTGTCCTGTCGTTCCAGAATTATGGCCGACCATACAAACCCTCTCCCTAAAAGAGAGAGAATGCTCGTCCTTTTTGAACAACTTTCACTTGTCGGATCGCAGCTAAAAAGGGGAGAGCGTACAGGTAAAGCCGTGCAGGTAATGCGCGTGTGAAAGTGGCGTACATTGTATGCGTATACGATTGTTACAAAGGCTTTATACGGTCGAGGGGCTTGCATAGTGTAGGCCTCCTCGCTCCCCCGCCCCCCCCCCCGCCCCCACGCCAGGGCTCGCTCTACAACAGACGCCCTCCTGAGGCTGCCTCGCTTCTGTTTCCCGCTCATTGTCGCATTCATCCCCCGGGGCTCTGCGCCCCCGCTGACTCGGCCGCATCATGACGCCGCCCAGAACGCTTACACTCGAACCCGTGAAGTAACTTTGGAATCCTCAGTGCGCGTCAGCTATAACGGAGGAGCCTGGCAGTCGTTTTCCCAGAGATCTTCTCCATGGGGCGCCGTCCTTCCCGACCTTTGACCCCGGTCCTCCCGTAGCGAGAATACAGACCAAGATTTCTTCTAGTAATCTTATATGCTGTGCGTTCGTCTCTTGAGTATTTTGATATGAATAATGTCTTAAATATGCATAATACGAAATCCAGAATCAAAATGTACATCTAAGTGTCCATCTAAAACTTCATAGTGGATATTCATCTACATATCAGTATTAGTATCAACGAGTCTAGCTATCTACTGGCTCTACCTGTTTACACATCTGTAAAGGCTATAAGTTATCCCTCAGGCAAAAAAAACTACCCGGAGTGTTATGGCCTGACACCCCATGAGCCCTCCGTATCTCACAGCCTTCCTCCCACCCGGTGACCGGGTGAATTAATGCGCCAGCCTTGCCGGCGTTCCCCCAGGGCTACCTCATCGACCAGCCCCCAGACTTCCCAGGAAAACAAGCCAATCATCTTCCTCCATCCGGCAGCGAAACGGAGAAACACCCACACAGGAGTGCCGTGAGCTGTGAGCAGGTGTGCGTGTCTGTCATAAAAGGCAGGTGCTTGTCGGCGACGAAGTGGAGGGCGGAGGAGGCCCGACCCCGCTCCGTGACCGCAGCCGCTCCACGCTCTGCCGCCGGAGTGTGTTACGGCGCCGCGACTTCTTGTCCCCGCCTCGGAGGAATCCTTCACGCCTTCCGAGAGGACGATGTCCGCCACGCTCCGCTCTTTCCCGTCTGAGGTCCGTGCGCGCCCAAGGAAGCGCTCAGGAAAGGAAAGCACAAAGGGATGGCAGGGGAGAAAGGGGCAGGGATGAAAAGGACGAAACGGGAGAAATGATAAGAGACATATGACAAGGGAAAGCTACGGATGAGGAACGGGAAGAAAGAGCAAGAGACAAAGCGCAAAAGTCTTGTAAGAGAGAGGGAAGCAAAGGGGCACAACGTGAATCGTCTGAACATCTGAGGAAGTTTTCTGAACTGTGGACACACACATACACACGCGCTCTTTCACTCATACACACCCACAAACTCTCACACACTAACCTTAACAATAACACATGTTTGCACGCACGTACACACGTACACGCTCGCGCGCAAACATACATACATACATAAACACACACACACACACACACACACACACACACACACACACACACACACACACACACACACACACACACACACACACACACACACTCTCTCTCTCTCTCTCTCTCTCTTTCTCTCTCTCTCTCTCTCTCTCTCTCTCTCTCTCTCTCTCTCTCTCTCTCTCTCTCTCTCTCTCTCTCTCTCTCTCTCTCTCTCTCTCTCTCTTTCACATAATGGTAGGAAATTATGAACATCTGACTGACCATCAACCGAAAACCATCACTGTAGCATCGTGTAGCAATCACAGTAACAACGTCCTGCGTCGGGAAGGCCACAGAACTGGAAAAAGGGGGAAGGGGAAGGGGAAGGGGAAGGGGAAGGGGAAGGGGAAGGGGAAGGGGAAGGGGAGGGGGAGGGGGAAGGAGAGGGGGAAGGGGGAGGGAAGCAGGAGGGGGAAGGGGTAAGGGAAGCGGGAGGGGGAAGGGGGACGTTAGGGAGAGGAGAGGGAGAATTGGAAGGGAGAGGAGAGGGGGGCGTCCTGCAAAGCGCATCGTGAGAAATTCGCCATGCGGTTTCCCAGTCCTCAGCCATGCGTCCGGGCTGGGCATGGCGAGGACAATGATCACCGTGAGCGCGCACTCGGGATGAGTGAACCGCTAAGTCCAAGTCCTTGTTCTTCATATCAACCAAAAGGTACTTAAATTTGCTATTTCTAAACTATAAAAAACAACAGAAAATGTTTTAGGGGCAATATGGAAGTGAGCAGGGAATAAAAGACCAAAGAGTGGCATCATACACAGAGCGAGGATTCTCCCGGCCCGAGTGCCAAGGAGATACCAAGAAGGGCAGTGCCATCAAAGGCAAGATGTTAGGGCTACTTACTGCGGCGTGATGATGTTCTTGGAGGCATCCCGGGGCACGGGAGGGGGCGTGCCAGTGAGGCGTTCTCGCGGGGGTGAATCAGGAGGCACGGGCGGCGCCTCAGTGGGCGGAGACGCCACCTCCGAGGGCGTGGGCGGGGGCGGAAGGGGGTCATCGTTGAGCACTACCTCGCCGTCTGTGACCGGCGGCGGCGGGGGCGGCGGAAGGTCGGGCGTGGAGGAGCGGGACGTCGGGCTCGTGGGCGCCACCAAGTGGGCGGCGTGAGCGGGCGAGGTGTGGAGGCGTGCTGTGCGGGGGGACCGCGGCGGCCGCGGGGAGCTGGGTGTAGGCGCCGCCGCCGGCGCTGCCGAGGCTGGCGCCGCTGGGGCCGCGGCCGTTGCTTCCGGAGATTTCGGCGGGTCAGGAGCCGGGGGCTTGCGGTAGTAGTATGGGCGTGCGGGCGAGAGATTCCGCAGCTCATTGGCCGACTCTTCTATCCGCCGCATCTCCGAGTCATTGCTGCTTTTTTCTGCATGGGCGTTGGGGTGGGCGGAGGGCGCCGCACTGCTGTGGGCGGCCGACGGGCCATTGTGTGCGTGGGCGGAGTCGGCGTTGGGCCCGTGGAACAGCGAGCGCAGCGTAGGTTTCTTGGGAGGGCGCTCGGGCGGGCGCGGGGGCGGCTCGTCGTGGGCGGGAGGGGGCAGGGAGGGCGGCTTGGGCGGCTCGCTCTGGAGGGGCGGGAAGGGGGCAAGGTCTGACGCGGGGAGGATCCCCTCGAGGAGACCCCTGCTGGGCGGAGCACGGCTCGAGCTGCAACAAACAACACTACATTAGCACTACAGCTCTAACTACAGCGAGCGCCAAAACAAGGGATTATTGGCTTGGCTCTACTTTACGACAGCTGAATTTCTTACTCTGGCAATGCACAAACTTGTATTATTATTAGGCCTACTATGCATCAAGTTTACAACTATTGCATTAAAATGGTTAATTTGCAATTGCAACTAAAAATAAATAACAGAGCAATGTACCAAACACCATAATAACAAAACAAATTTTACAATCTTATTTAGATTTGCAAATAAAAACAAGGACGGGGAAGAACATTGTTTTTCTTATCCGGTTCAAATCCAACAGCCCACATTCTATCTCCCATCGTCTCCCTTCCGCTCCCCCCCCCCCCCCCCCCGCTTCCCTCCAGCTCTCCCTTCCGCTCCCCTTCCCATTCCCTCCCGCTTCCCTCCAGCTCTCCCTTCCGCTCTCCCTCCCTCCCTCCCTTCCGCTCTCCCTCCCTCCCTCCCTTCCGCTCCACTCCTCCCTCATGAGTGTCATAACTGTGTCGAGCCCCAAACAAACGGCCTCATATTCACAAAGAATTTACACACCAGTTTTACCGGATTTCGAAATGCGCTCGGCTCTATAGGTTGTTTACCTGTTGGTCCCCCGCATCGCCCCTTCCGTCTTCCGCTCTCATATCTCGGGAGTTTTCTTGTATCCTACGTCAGCTCTCCATCTTGCACTCAACCTCCCCCTTTGCAACCTCTCCCCTTCCCAGCGTATCACTTGTGTAAATATTTGGATGAAAGAAGAGTGCCACAGATATAACCAGGTACAGAAAAACCGTTTCGCCGTCTGACATGCTCTATATTCGCCCCGCGTGTCATTCATATCTCCCTTTAACATTCTGGTATCAGTTAAATATGATAAATGATGAAGTGCAGTTTTAGAATTTCCCTTCATGTCCTTACAAGAAGATATTTATGAAAAAAGACGAAAAAGTTACGGCTAAAATAATAATAGCCTACAGTAACATTATCAGTTCATAATATGAGAATATAATAAGTAATTCGTAATTAAACAGCAACGCATGCTTAAAAATTATCAAGTAAAAGTCGGTCAACAGTATTTTTTTAGTATACCCTAAAATGGACAAGTCATGCAGCCAGGCGCTCCGTTTTCTGTGATGATAACCAATGGCAAAGGTTTCGAATTGAAGCGTAGACGTTAACATTTTGGCGAAAATTGCGGTCTCTCAGCGGTCGTCTTTATTATATGGCCAGCGGTTGACTTTCTCGTAATCAGGTAAATTACCATTATTAACAATTATTCCCAAGATTAATACATCACAACGAGTCCATATTTTGAAATTAGAAATCCAAAGAAAACCGTTGTGTTACAGCGGCAGTACCTCTCGTATCTCAAGCCTCATTCCCACTCCACTCTGTTTATGCATTCCCAAAAGGAGAGCCAGAAGTGCCACTTGTAAATATCCTCAAGTAGAGATACTGCGGGGTTAGAAGGGACGTCGAGAGTAATAACGGTGGAAAGAATCAACAAAAGTTAGATAAGAACTTACATAAGCATACATAAATAAAACAATGGAAGAAGGAAATGATAAGGACTGACTTGAACCGTGAAGATTTAGGTTAAGGAAGGAGAGAAATAGCTGGAGAGATGCGCACTGATTCACAATATAACGTCCAAGTCTATCTTTAACCCCCCCCCCCTACTTCTTCATGGTGAACTCTGGTATTCTTGCGCCTTGTGTTTTCGTCTTGACATTTATTCTCGAGTCGCTTATGATTTACAATTAAACTTCCGGGAGTGATATTAGCAATTTCTACCCTACAACAATCTCGTGATAATAATTACACATCACTTTTAATGTTAGTTCACACAAAACACAGTTGTAAGAATATGCAAATTACACGACTGTTGGACTACCTACCAATCTCTCGCTCGCGCCCATTTCACGTACGAAGGCCGCTCGAAACACAAAGAAATCTCCAGAAATAAAAGTACGCTGCTTCACCACACACAATGCGTTTTATTTTTCCTCTCGAGTAAATAAATACAGACTGTTTTTACCCTTGAGTAAACAAATCGAGACCGGCATTTTTCTTCGATAAATAAATACAAGAGCTCAGCCCGTGTGTCAAGCAGTCAGTTGTAAATCGAAAGGAAAAGATGTCGTAATGTTTGAACTCATTCCGATGTCTGGGATATCATCTACACTTAATCCAATTGCTTACACCAGGAATCGCTCTTAACAGGAAATCTTCACGACTGTAATCACCCCCGTTAATCTGAGACCTTTAATCCCATGTTACTCGACGATACGTGATCATCATGGCGTTTATTCCGTCACACAGTGTAGGCTCTGGCAAGGAAAAAAAGAAAGAAAAAAGAAGAAAAAAGAGGATTGATGATGGCCGACCACAAACGCCTCTACACTCCAAAATGTCACGGTCCAGCATTTCACGGATATACATAAATTGCATCAGTCACGCGACATTTGCCTCTTTCCGAACTTCGACAGCCTTCGCCGCCGTGACGTGATCGCAACGGACTTAGATCAATTAATTCATTTTTAAAAAGGACCAAAGCGTTTTAAACAATTGGAGGAAAAACTGGCGACGAAAGTATTTTTATGGCAGCGAAGAAGTCGTCAGAACAGAAGCCAGTTTGATAGGGCGAGACTAGAAGAGTCCCCCCCTGTGACCAGCTTCCCTTTTTCCTTTTTCTTACATTTTCTCTAACCTGGTCCCGTGTCGTAACTCAGTGAATTTCGAGACATTCACTTTTTTTTAACTTTAAAATGATGTTGCTGAAGTGTTTATTGGCGATCGAATCGGCCGTGCGAGGGCGTAGCGGTGAGACGAGGTTTTTATGCGCTGGTAGGACGAGTCTGTTTGCCGGGGGCGTGTCGATGAGGCAACTAACAGGCCCAGAAGTACGGACTGGGGTGGGCGTGGGCGGCTTCGTGCCTGACGAATGGTATCGTTTGCATGAGAATTAGACGGAACAGGGAAGTTTAGGATACACTGTTAGGGAAATAAATCGAAGGATCCATCAAGAGGAAAAGGGAAGAGAAGGAGGAAAGAATAACCACAACCCACAGAATAAATAATGAGACTCAACAAACACACGTTACTCAGGAAATGTTCGTTGATTTTTCATAATTATCAACAAACGGTTTCCTGTTAACGCGAAGGTCACGGATTGTTGGAGGGAAAGGGGCGGAAGTGAAGGGGGCCAAGAAGAGGAGACGAAGAACAAAGAACACAAGAGGAAACGGAGATTATGCAAACTAGACAGAGAACAGAAATCCGGCAACACGACGACCAGAAAATTAAAAGAAAACACCACGAGGAAATAAAGACTTCGTCAAACAGGCTTCTGGGAGAACAGTGAGCGAGGTAAGAATGGTGAGAGATGACCAGAAAAAATAAAGCGTGTCCTTCTCGCCTGCCAGTTAACTCGAGTATCTCGTTTTAAGTCTCCTGACCAGTGCAAGGCCAATGAGACGTTAAAAATAACGCCGCGAGCCACAGAGTAAGAGGTAAGTGCTTCTTAAACCTTTCTCTCTAGTCACTCCGCCATACCTACAAATAAATCCTTTGACAGTCGAGCCCAGAGCTTAAGACTAAACATTTTAAAAACAAAATCTTACTCTAAATACGATTTCCCCAACATTTCGATATTCGTTTTCTGGCATGAAAATAATCCTTTGTGTTGATATAGCCACTCATGCGATATCGCCTGCTTGCGGGTGTGTTTGGAGGCGGGGCACAGCGGGCGTGCGTGTGGATGAGCACAGCAGCATGCGCATGGGTGGGTGCGTTAATTCGCGCGGGGAGTCTCAAACGCCCGGGCTTTCAAGGGAGTATCATAACGGTTAGGTCTAGTGTTGCAGGGGCGTGAACTTGGTGCGCATGGCAGCGGCATGCGGGGATGGGCGTGCCAGCCTAGATAATCATCACAACCATGACCTCGCTCACCGCCCACGACATACATCCATGCTGTTAATATACAATAATAAACCTTCAAAGCATAGTGCATTCTGAATTAGTAAACGGTACGTTACACGATTTCTCACACTTCATACACGCCCGGACACGTCTGTGTGCGCGTGCATGTGAGTGGTGCGTAGATAGATGGATATATTGAAACACAGTCTGATATATAGACAACTACATAGTTATACAGATGAACAGATAAATATATCAAAAGGAAGACACCAATATTACTGCGACTCTTTCTTGAGCACTGAGATTAGGTAACTCTGAAAGGTGGAGGAGGGTCATGGTCGTTGCATGAACCGCGCATGACCTGCACGGATCAGGGATATATTCATATCACGGCGCACGTGACCATTTTCGTAACTGCGGATCTGGCGATTGAAATTTTAAACGGCCTGGCTCTTTGTATCTTCCGTGTTCGCGTTGCTAACAGGCTGACGGGTGAAGTGAGAGCTTAGTAACTCCTGGCTGGAATGGAATATTAAGGCAAGGGTGTGTGAAGCGACTCGCGGAGCCCCGGATGCAGCCAGAATAAAGGCAAAAAATAAAGGCGAAACGAGAGGCGCACGTCGACTACCATTGAGGGAGACTCCGCCCCTACACGGATGTGGGAGGGAGCGGGGACCGGCGCTATCAGGAAATACCTTACCGATAGGGAAAAAAAGTAAAGGGACCGGACATGCGCACCTACAGGATAAACGAAAGTAACATTCTGACGGCGAGTTTGGGAGTGGCGCCCCACGTGCTTGGAACTCGAGGTTAAGTGAATGGGTGAGTGGACGCCTCGGAGGTCCCTCTCGCTCGCCGACGCCAGCGAACCGGACCCGAGTCTCTGTGCCGACTCAGCCATCACGAAAGATCATCAAGTGAGCTTCACTAAGTCCAGAGTATATGTATGTATGTATGTGTGTGTGTGTGTGTGTGTGTGTGTGTGTGTGTGTGTGTGTGTGTGTGTGTGTGTGTGTGTGTGTGTGTGTGTGTGTGTGTGTGTGTGTACATATATATAAA